GACTTCCAAGTATTCTTTTTAGACTTAGAGCTGAAGAAGAAGCTGAAAGTATCACTAACACCAGCGCAACAAACCCCCACAAAAGCTTCCTTTCTCCAGCCAACAGCCTAGGAAGGAAGCAGCCCAGGAAGACAAGAAGCTTTTAAACAAAGCCATTGCTCTCAGCAAACACCACAGACAAATTGTAACCCCACCTCCATCAGTAATAGGGAACAGAAAGCCCACCCTTTAATTAATGGCAGGCTGTATTGAACTGTATGGTGGGTTCCACCATCCCTGTTAAGATAACTGGTCTCCCCATGTTGCTAGCAGTTGCCATGGTGGTGTAAACTGGACTTCTGAGTCCTCCAACAATGAGCTGCCTATATAACACATGGCCCTTTGAGGGACACTACAGACACCAACTATTACAAATGAATACCAAACTGAGGTCAGAGATGGAGAATTGCCTGAAGAAAAGTTTAAATCAGTGAGAATAAAAAAAATGCTTCAGTAATTATAATTACACTAAAATATCAAAGAAATACAAAGTATGAGAGGAGCCAAGTGAAAAATTCTGAATATGAAAAAAAAAAAAAACATGACTGTACTTGAAATAAAAATGTTCAGTGGGTACCCCAACAGAGTTGATGGCAACAAAGGAAAGAGACAGTAATTTGGAAAGAGAACCAATTTCTTGTAGGTAGGTACCCATTCTGAAGAACACAAAGAGAAAGGATTGGAGCAGGGGTTGGGGGTGGAGTGTGGGAAGAGAACTGGGCCTCTGGGATATGACAGGAACTCAACCTGTGGGTCTCCACCCCTTTCAGGGTCAAATGACACTTTCACAGAGCGGTCACCTGAGACCATTAGAAAACACAGTTATTTACATTATGATTCATATCAGTAGCAAAATGACAGTTGTGAAGTAGCAATGAAAATGATTTTATGGTTGGGTGTTACCACAGCGTGAGGAACTGTATTAAGTGGTCACAGCGTTAGGAAGGTTGAGAACCGCTGGCCTAGACATTCACAGTCTGTCAGTTTTCAGCCCCCTTTAGCTCCTATTCATGGCTTTTCTGTCTAGAAACAGCCACACATCTAGCATTTTCCACTATTTGACAATAGAAACAATTCCACATTGAGTAATGTTAGATTTGTAAGGGAGGCCTTATTTTACACGATTTTTGGCAACTTTTAGTGAGATTGTTTTTGGTGATGGCCGGAGTCTCAGGCATGTAGATAGATGTGTGGAAGTTCATCTGGACATTCGTAACAACAATTACCCCAGTGTCTCTAGGCTCTTTAAGTGAACATAAATATTCATTACTTAAAAGGGAATTCAAGTTGTACATTCTTGTCAGTTTTCTATACTGTCATTCAGACCCAAGCCAGGAAGTGATGAATGTCTTGCCATAGGAAGTGTATGATGGAGGCATTTCAGAGAATTTAGAGCCTCAGATTTGGAGCATTGCTGCTTCACATTTTCTGGAAAGATAGAAGTGTCACATTGCAGATGGTGCCGTCCTGAGGTTGACACACTTTTCTTCAGGTGGGAGACAGGTTCCTGTTACGGACATGTGAAGTGTGATGTGACTTTGGTAGTGTCCAGGAGGTAGATGGGAGGAGGAGACTAGAAATGTGGAATCAGAAGTTTGACGAGGTCACTCGTGTGGAAAGAGGTTCAAGGACAAAGCCTTAGAGAGTATCTACATTCTGGTTAAAGCAAGCATTGGAAGAGAAAAGACCAGAGACAGAGAAGACCTGGAAGATAAATCCTGGGGTCTAGGCGGGAAATAGCATCGAGGTGATGCTGGGTGTGAAAAAAATTAAGCAAATAAGCAGGAGGATCCACCAGCCCATGGATTCCCAAAATAATTTGTAATGCTGTTGTTACAGTGCTTTCCTTCTCATTCATTGTCTTGCCTTCGAGGAACTGTTTCCTAGTATTGCTGTAGCATTAGACATCTTCCTGTAAAACCCAAACTAGGTGAACCGCCAAGACTGATGGGCCAGCAAGGAAATGTTTTCCTCTGGCACAGGCATATGTAATTTCTTTAATTTAATTCATCTCACGTACAGTTTGTTGAATCAGTTTCTTTTCTTGGAAACTATAATGGAAAGTTAGTGAAAACTCATTTTATTTTTGAGCTGGTTTTAAGTTTCAAACCTTGGCTAAGGAGAGAGAGGGAGAGACCAAGAAACATGCACAGAGAGACTTGTGAAAATTATACCAGTTATTGGTTAAGCTGTCTTTCCTGTTTCTGACTTTACCATGAGTCAAAGAGTTTGGCTTCTCAACCTCTGGGAATACTATGCAGTTGCAGAATATGAGATTTTAGAGGCTGAAACTAAGCTGGTAGAAATTCAAATCCATCTTTTATCTTTTAGATAAAAGCCTTTGAAATCCTTTTAGTGTGAAGTTATCTGCGGGCTAGATTCTCATATAACCTCATTACCAACCCCAGGATTATTCAGAATGCACGGAGAGCCATGCTCTGTGGCTGAAACTCAGTTTTGATCACTGCTCCCGCTCAGTGATAAGCCACCGGCGGTTCACCTGGTCCTGCTCGGGGAAATTCCATCTGCTCGCCCCAACACACCCTTGGAGATCACAGATCACAGCGCATATGGAAGGCGCTCAGGAAGTGTGCACCAGTGAAAGCGCGTCAACTTCATTTGAGCTTCTCAAAACCGTATTTAACTGCAGAACCTCTCTCTGTGTTAACATTTCATGGCTCACCTAGGTTCTTCGCAAGTGGGATGCATGCCTCAGAGGAACTGCTCTTCAGATTGAAGGCCTCTACGATGGGAGGCGATGGCAGTGCTCAGATCTTTGTTTCATGTTTTACCCTTGATGATGTTTAAGGGAAAATTTTCTCCCAGCATTCTCAGCGATCTTTCTCCCCTCACCATGGAATGACAAAAATGAACTTATGAGATGCTGGGGTTTGTGTACATTTTTCTGAAAAAAAAAAAAAAAATTCAGCAGTTGCTTGGAACCACTCCCATTTGAAGGCATAAACCTCCCATTAATAAATTAATGAGAAAAATGTGGAGAAAAAGTAGTTGTAGCCGGTTCACCAATTGTTATCTTAAGGCTTACTTCAAACAAGAGCATTCATTACGTGAGGGGCAAACCTAGTTTCCCAAACTGAAGCCTATAATGATATACTCATCCCATCTGGGGGTGATGGTGACTGCACACATATACATTCTGAACGTACAGCCTCTGGCAGCTGCTCACGTCTCCCTAACGAAGAAGAAGCAGAAGCAGGAGATAAGAACATTCCTGCTTTTATTGCTTTCTACAACATTTGAAGTTGGGGCGGGAGTGGGGAAAGTGTACCCATCTCGGCCGTAAATGTCTGTCGTCCTGCTGCCAAAGAAGTAAAGCAGCCCTCTTTGGTAATCTCTTAGGTAATCTCTGGTCTTCATTTGTTAAAGCCTGCCAAACAGAGGCAGATAAGAAACCATCCTCCTCCTCATCCCATAGCCAATTACCTCCACCTTATATTAGAGGCGAGGGGAGGGGTGGGGGGAGGTGGGGAAGTGTGTGTGCCAGGTGTAACACTTTTAACCACACACCCCCAGATGACCTCACTTACCCTAATCCCAAAGAACTCCACAGGACCCTGAGCTGGCTGACTCCAGGAAACAGAATTCCAGGCAGGGTGCATAATGGCAACAGCGCCTGAAAGAGGGAATAAATGTCACCCTGGGAAAGGAGCTGCTGTGGGTCAGATGCAGAGGTGATTCTGGGTTTCCGTGAGGCAAGGATGTCTAGGAAGACATTACCCCCGCCCCTGAGTTTCCATTTTTCAGATGCATCAATGTGGTTTGTATTAGCTCATTTGTGGGACCTAATAGCTTAAGCCTTCTTCTTTAGACGTGAGCTCTTTGGTTAAAGGCTGCCAGAGTCATGACAGAATCTGATGGGGGAATTTTTATTGCCTAATAAATAATACCACAGAAGATCATAATTCCACATTAGCAACTAAATACCCCAAATGTATAAAGCATGTAGAGTTAGAGCCAAGATACCGGTGAAAAACAGCTAAGTGATGCTTCTTAAGAATTATTCATTCTCTTGTAATAGGACGGCAGGACAGCAGCAGTCTCCCGCGTGCTGCCCGGAGGCTGTAAATAACTACACTGGCAATGCCATTTTTATTTAGCTCTCAAATTCTCTCTGGAATTCTGGAAGAAACCTCAACCTTTCTCCTCAAGCTGAAGAGGGATTATAGACTTCCATAGGGGCATGTGTTCCAGATATGGAGACCTATCGCGTTGGTCAATCTCTAAACACTCCAGATGTGGCTGTTGCCATGACCAAGTCTTTTCTTTTGTGCAGAGACATTTTAGCCCAACAAAATGGATCCATTTCTAATTCTTCCGATGTTATATGGGCATACTTCACACACACACACTCATGCATGCACACACACTATAATCTTTCATTTTTCTCTTAGCTCACTCCTTCCTCTGTTTGAAAATAATCACTCTGGTTCTTACCACCTAAAGCAACCATCCTCTGAAACACTCATCCTCTAAAGGTAAAAATAAGATCGATGGCAAAATGTGTGGAAAGGCAGAGTGATGCCATTGTGTCCTAGTTTGGGGGGATTGTGATGGGCAGAGAGACCGGTGGCCTACAGAAGGCCATTCCTCTGGTACGGTGAAATGGCTCTTAGCGTGCAGGTTGTGTCCACCCTATGTGCTGCCATATTGTCCTGGGAACCACCTTGGTGGTGCATGGCAGACGTGAAGTCGTTCATCTGAGGAAGCGGGAGGAAAGTGAAAAGTTGTCTCATTCTTGGAGTCCTGATTTAGGAAAATTCTTTTTTGGCATCTGAGTCATTTGATGGATGACAAGAGAGCTGCTTTCTTGGGGATTTGATCTCCTTAAACATTGTCCAGTGCCTCTAATGAGGATCCAGGAAAACAGCCTGCTGTGTTCTTTTCAGTCACATTGGCCTTGGCATTTCCCATCTCAACTAAGGGTTATTTTCTCCTGACAGACACCAGATACTGCTACACGCAGCACACGATGGAAGTCACAGGAAACAGCATCTCTGTCACCAAACGCTGTGTCCCACTGGAGGAGTGTTTATCCACGGGCTGCCGAGACTCGGAACATGAAGGCCAAAAGGTCCGGGAAACCATGAACTCCCTCGGCCCTGTCTGGGTTTCGCAGTGCGCATGAGCAGATCCCCCCCCCCCCTCATTCCCTACTGTCTTTACTGCCTCACTGTCTTTACACGGCTGTGAAAATGTGCTTGCCTTCTTCTTTGCTTTAGAAGAAAACCAGCATATAGCAGGGCAAAGGACAAACAGATGGAGTGCATAAGCACATGCAAAGAGGAGGCTAAAGATTATCCTAAGCCCCTCTTCACTCGGAAGAGTCCTGAAAGGAGAGGGTCAGGGACCACTCGTATCCGTCTTGGTAGAGGGTGGCAGATACTCCAAATCATCCACTTGAGGAAGCAGACGGCAGTATATTCCGATAACTTTTGCAGAGTGAGGGTGCATGCCGTTATTGAGGGTCCCTGTTTAGGGAAGTTCTCCATTGGCACCTGAGTCATTTGAGAGGTGATAAGAAAGCCACTGGCTTGTGGATTTGTGTCCCTTAGACTTTAGGTGGTGCCTGTACACAGAGCATTCCATATAAAAGGAGCTCTGGGGGCATCTAGGAAAGAGAGTATAAAGCAGCCAGCATTGTGAATCTTTGGGGCCCTGCTTTTCCTGCAGTGGGTTGGTGCTGACTGTATGATCTTGTCACACTAAGGCCTTTACTTGGTTCGCCTGCCTGTCAGACCACCTACCTGGGGTTGAGGGAAACAGTCTCTCTCAATGCCCTAGAACAGCACTGCCTCCAGGGGCTTCCTTCAATCACAAAACACAGAAACAGTTTTTAGGCTACTTCTCAAATTCACTAAGAATCAAATTCAGAATATCATCTGCCTACTTGCTACTAGTTTGAAGAGAGGTCAAATCAAGGTCAAATCAAATCACCTGACCTGTGCAGCAAGCCGGCCTTGGCTTTTGGACATTATTGTGATATAGATAGATAGAAAAATAGATTTTTTTTTTAACCAAGAGAAACACTGAAAATCCAAAGATGTGTCAGTTGCTTGTGTTATACAGCTAATAAGAGAGAGATGGAATGGAAGCCAAATTCACTTCTAACTTCTAGTCTCTCTTCTCAGCATTCTGCTATTTTTCTGGCGTCATGCTGATTGTAGCCAGAGATTTAAATCTGCCCTGACTAGTAACTGGATAGGCTAATAACCACCTTGTGAATCTGATTCATCTGGGATCTTGTTAAAATGCAGATTCTAGTTCTGCAAGTGCTGGGTATGGTGTGAGACTGCATTTCTAACAAGCCCCCGATTGCTTTTGAGGCTGCTGGTCAATACAACGTGTAGCCACGGCTCAAAATAACTTCCATCAATAAACCTTTGGGTTCTCTTTTTTCATATGATCCAAGAGTAAAGCAGCATGAAGCAAGAGTAGTTGAATAAATGAAAACCCTTCAAATGTTTCCCACTCAAAAAAATGGAGTTAACCATAGCCATTGCTAATGAAGGCAAACACTCAGAATCACATGACCCAGGCATTGCCGCTTCCTCCTCACTGTGAAAATCTCAAAGAGGAACTTTCACCTCTTAGCAGCTAATTCCTGTTGTCAGGAAGAGTCTCTATGAGGAGGAAAAGCAAGTTTCCCAATTCCCATTTCAGAGGCAGAATAACTGAAGGTTTAGAGGACTGGGAAGCCTAGCAGCCACAGGTGAGATGCCAAAAACAACTCAGGCCCTGTGAAATTTGGGCTGGGAATTTTGACTTTGAGCATGTCGCTTCCAGATAGGAATTTTTTCCCCCGCTCCATGAATGCCAGGCAGTGTGTCTTTCGTAGAGCAGATCCTTCTCATTTGCCAGGAGGGAGACTGTTCCTTCCAATGTCTGGTCTCCTCCTGAAACATGCTAGCTTCTCATCCTTTGTTTTCTTTCTCTCTTTCTTTCAGATCTGTACCTCCTGTTGCGAAGGAAATATCTGTAATCTGCCACTCCCCCGAAATGAAACTGATGCCACATTTGCCACTACGTCACCTATAAATCAGACAAATGGCTACCCCCACTGTATGTCAGTGATCGTGTCCTGCTTGTGGGTGTGGCTGGGACTCACCTTATAACAACCTTCTCTACCAAAAGTGGTAGAGCCCTGTGGGTTTTATGGTGGCCCATAGTCATGCATGAGTCATTGGCCTGGCAGTGGTGACACAGTGCAACCCCAGCCTCCTAGGACATCACCACAGCCAGGCATAACCATTACCATGAAGAGCAAGCATTGCTTCCACGCTGTCATTCCCAGCCTAACCAAGATCCCATCTAAGTCAGCCTGTCCCTGATATAGACCCTGCCTTTATTGATGTCTGGGGTTCTTGATTCAGAATCCATGTATGAGCTGCAGGAGGTCCTGGGCCCTCTGAGGAATAAAGCTATGGATGTAGGAGACGTTCATTTTTTTTTTTTTTCAGGAAAAGAATAAAGAATCACTAGCTTAATTGCAATCACAGCTTCACCTACGGCTTTAGAATTTTAAAACTTTAAATCCAGAGTAAGTGGAATGGTTTCTTTGAGATTCTGGCAGAATCCCTGAAAGAGTAGCAAGTGCTTTGCTCACTTTAATTTCCCCAGGCTTCTTAACTTAACATTGGGAAACATGTTCCTTCTGCTCTCTGCAGAAGATAAGAAAAGGCAATTATAAAAGTTTGTTGTATTTGTAGGAGTGACAGGAGAAAGATTTTGTCTAACGTGATGAAATTAGCATCCACAGGATGACGTTATCCCTTCTCATAACTGGAAAGTTTGACCTTGGGAAGTAATTATGCATCCCAAGTTTCTCGATTCCAGCTGGGCCAATAGCATCTAAAAAAGTCATGCTAAGTAGATGAGATTATTTTTTCTCCAGGTGTTTCTTTCCACTCAGATATAGCCAATCTAATAAGAGAGAGAACTTCAGAATAAAAGGACCTTGTAAATGTTAGTCCTAGCTCATATTAAGACCCAGAAATAGCTAAGCAAAATTCTTTCTCTTTCTATAGTATTTGCTGCCAAAGAGCCTTCTCCTTCCAAAACTCTGTGGCTTTAAGGAGAAAATTTTAAAATAAATTCTCATTATATCAATAAGGTGAGAACACATATGTGCTGGGATGAGAAAATGATGAAAAAAAGTAGGAAGGGGTAGTTTTGGTTTCAGCTACTGCTTTTGAAGTAGAAAGGATTTTCATTATCCTTCATGTAATTTTTTTTTTTTTTAGCTAAAAATTGCATTGTGTTCTTTTTTGTAAATTCTTTAACTGACATTTATTTTCATATGGTATAAACTGGAAACTATATTTCAAAAAAAAAAAACTTTTTTTTTTCCCTGAACAAAATATCAATTAGAATGCTTGCTTTCAACAGTGGTAGAACTTATCACTTGTTTTCATGGAAAGTTAACTGTGATCCTTGTACTGATGTTGAAAAAGTTAATGTTTTGTGAGCAAGGGTTGTGCGTTTGCCTCAAGGGTTCTGCTCGTGGTTTCCTCAGAAGCTTGTCCCGGAAATAATCAGGTGGAAACCATCACTGGTCTGACTGTGCAGGGTAGTGGGGTATGTTCCCATAGAACTTGGTGGAACTATTTCCTAAAGAGGCCAGTGTCGTTAAGATATATCTGCTCCACACATGGAACTTTAGTTTATAAAATTGGACCCCCTCAGGGACCAAATCTGAACTGACGGTAGAAACGGTTTCCACATCATTGAAGTTGCATCACACAGCCTTGATTCAGAGTTTGGTAGGCTTATCAACTTCTTGCTTGTAATTGTGGATGGGAGAGCATGGGAGAAAGGCTTATAATAAGCACTCATATGTGCCAGGCACTTAGCTAAGCACTTTACATAGGTAGACCATATAACCCTACATCAATTCTGTAAGGAACTGTGCACACTGATGCTTAAAGATAAAGGTCTTGGGGCTCAAAGAAGTTTGATTAATGCAGCCTTTCCTTCAGATTTCGTTTATGTGGGATGTGACTTGTTTGGGGAAAAAAAGGGAGGGTGGAACTTCTCTGCTAGGAATACCTCTAGGCCTAACTTCATGGGAATTTGCCCATCTTTTCATTTAGAACATATCCTGCTTCCCAGGATGACATTTGCATGTTTCCCCAGCTGACACTTTTTCTTTGGGGAGTAAAGTTGTAGCTTCCCTATTTATCCCTCTTGTCAAAGGAGGAGATGGTTGACCTTGCATCCAAAGATGCTGTGAGACAATGAGAAGCCGATGTTGTACATATCTGCAAGTACCTTTTCTGTGCATGGTCACACGCCACTGACATTTCCCAAGTGCTGCATGCCGTCGGGACAAGAGACAAGGGACTGACCCCGTGAGAACCCCCCTGGCTGGTCTTCAGGGATCAGGCTCTCAAGGGTACAGACTGCCCGTCGTCTGGGAAGTAATTGCAGCTACTGGACACATGTGCTGCACACATCCCTAACGCCTTTCAAAGTGGCTTCCTTTTCATTCTCTTGAAAGAATGTGATTTGCTCACCACCCCCGGCCTCAAGAAGCCATGGAGGGGCCATTCATGTAGAAGGTCCAGGACTATTTAGCCATTTGACTTCTGTCACTTTAAACTGTCCATTAAACCTCACCATTGGTGATGGCTTGAAATGCAAAGAGCCATGATGTGTATATTAACCTATGTGCCACATATTTATTTTTAGACTTTCTTCAACATCCATGTCAATATGGGATTAATGCCTAAATGTAAATATTGTATACTTTGTAAATCAATGAATAAAGATTTTAAGTGTGTTTCTTCAGGCTTCTTCCTGCAAGTGTGTATGTCAGTCAGTGATTAATGTACCATGTTATGTCAAGACATGAGCTTAGCACCACAGTGGTCTTCTTTCTGTGGGCTCACTTTCCAGACATACAGTCAAGAAATACATAAAAGATACTTACTCATGCCAACTGATTCATACAGATAAAAGTGCTCCAAAAATCAAAGGAAAGATTGTCAAACTTTCAATCTGGTATATAGTTTCCCTTGAGCATTTCTTCATTAAAGCAAAAACCGTCGATAGACAGGTAGGTAGGTAGGTAGGTAGGTAGATAGATAGATAGATAGATAGATAGATAGATAGATAGATAGATAGAAAGATAGAAAGATGGATGGAAAGATAGATGGCATGTGTGCATCTGTGTGTGTGTCATTCTGTTAAATTTATTTTAAAATCTTATTCTTAAGATGAACAATAATAATAGAAAAGTTTGCCTCTGTTAGTTTTTTTTTTCTGGAAGGGAAGAAATGTTGGAATTATATATACATATATAATTATGTCTACATAATGCATTTATTATATTTTTCTTAGAAAAACAATAGACTGGAAAAAAGTCTGCAAGTGTTCAGCTTGACTATGGCACCTGGTTCTTTAAAATGGTGTTCTTTGCAATTTCCAGGAGAGTTAATCTTTTTTCTGCCATTAGTGGTGAGCTTGCTGCTAGATGGGGTATGGGGAGTGTTAGAGATGTGGTCTGTGCTTCTCCATGCACACAGTAAAGACAGCACTTAGTCCTGAGTGCTGTGAGCCCCTGTGTATTTAGTGTAAATGATACTAGGCACAGACTATATATTTAAAAAAAACTGATTGTAAGGACAGGATCTTAAAAGAATCTTCCCCTTTATAAATATGTTTCATAGTTCATGTCTAACATTTATAAGATCTTATACATGTTGTAAAAATTAGTGAACACTGTTATATCAATTCAGTGGTCACGTTTTAACTATCCTATGGTAGCTTTGATATGAAAGCTATTTTAAAAAAACTTTTAAAAGAATCATTCACAAATGTTTTGACTGAATTTCCCTGAAAATGTTTTGAGTATCTCTTACTGATTCCATTCTCAATGTAACTGAGGAAATACAACCTTGGATATTGAGTTACTATTACAATTTCATTGCCCCTTGGGGCAGAACTATGGCATAGATAAGAAGCCTGTGGTTTTAGCTGGGAAGACTCTCAGGATCTACTGGAAAAATAGATTTCATTTATCTATTTATTTATTTATTTATTTATTTATTTATTTATTTATTTTAGTATAAAAGTTTCTAATCAAAATTGATGTGACAAACCAATAAGAATTTTCAAAATGTCTTTTTAATTTTTAAATTTAATCTGGAAGATTATTGTGTTTATTTCAGTGTAAGAGTGTGCGTGCGTGCGTGTGTGTGTGTGTGTGTGTGTGTGTGTGTGTGTGTGTGTTTGCATATGCTATCATATGTATGGAGCTGAGAATATAACTTTCGGAAGTTGGTTCATTCTTTCCAGTGGAGATCAGAGAACACAGTTCAAAAGTTCTCTCTTCCCACCATTGGTTCAGATGTGTGAAGTGTGAGATTTTACCCACTGAGCCATCTTTTCAGCTCCCAAAATGTGCTTCATTCTCATTAGTTACTCTAGTTAACAACATATTAAAATCATGGCTGCTTTTGTTAGCTAATTTCTGCTTTACCTTTTGCAAGTTGCAATTGTTGGATTTATCTGAGTGTAAACATTTTTATAGTGGTATTTCAAACTGAAGTTTAAAATTTAGAGTCTGAGAAATGACTTCTTTAGAGTCCTCATTTTTGTTCTCCTAGCGGCAATATTGACTTTTGTGTATGGTTTTATCTTAGGAGCACTTTGAAATGCTCTGTGCATTGCTTCCATTGATCAGCGTGAACACATTTACTACTTGATTACTGTGGCTTTGCCTTAACCAAGGGAGGTTACCCTGGCAGTTTGTCTTAAAAGACTCTGTTCCGCACATGTTACTAGGATGACGTGTGACACCTTTCCCTTTCTCCTGCAGCTTTGCTACAAAGGTGTTGTTCAGGTTACTGAGTTGAAGGTGAAAGGAACTTTAGCAAATATCTGGTCTACCCCCTTTGTTTTTATATGGATGAGAAAAGAATCCCAGAAAACCCAGATCATTTGTCACTGGGGACACTACAGGACTGTGTTAAAGGATCAAATTCTGCCAAGAATCCCTTTTGTGATGCTTGGGGTGATGAGGCACAGAAAACAAGAAGCAGTTTGGAGGTGCCCTTTTTCTTTACTCTGGCTGCAGGGTGGGAGGTAGCATGGGTATCACAAGGCAGGGAATGGCGGGGAATAGGGAAAACTTCCTATAAGAAAGCAAAGAAGCCTGATGAGTGTTCATCCTAATTTGAGAAGAGAAACACTCAGAATTAATCACTTTCAGACTCATAAACTAAAAAAAAGGAAGAGCAATTTGGGAAATTCAGACAGTATCATTTACTTGAATATAATTTTCTTGGGGGGGGCAGTTACTTTATATCTAGAATTATGAACTAGCCTTGCCAAACCATGCATTATCCCTGCACCCAGAATCCAGGCATCCACTGACATCCACCCTTACAAAGATACCAGGGATTGTGTTATCAAATTAGGAAAAATGTGTCCTCCATAAAGAAGTCTATTGAACATAGGCACAAGGAACAAAGTGCCCCCAGATTCAGACAGGAGGCAAACGGAAAAGCTAAAAATAAGTCACAAGCTCAATAAATCCATTCATCTTTGAGGAGAATTCAACATCAATGTAATCTGGGTCCTACTCTGATCTACAAGACACGCCTGACTGTTGGGACACAGAGTCCGAACTAGGTTCCGAGCACATCCATCTCGTCAGCTGTGCTTCCCGAGTAACAATGCCTCAGCTCAGTAGGCTTGGAGCCCACCCAACCTCTCCCAGCAGCAAAGCCGGGTCGAATAACTTGAGACCTGAGCATGATATGAGCAGATGAGTTGCTCAAAGAGAGAGATCACACTTGAGTGCTCTGTGCTGCAATTCTCTGGTGAGAAGGCTGAGTGAAGCCCTGTGGAGGAGAGCACGTTCGGGCTTCCTCATGAATCAGACTGGCTTGATTCAGCTTGGCTCTCTGGTGCATGGCAGCATCAGGCTTAACCCTAGCTTTAAAGCTTTTTAAATACTTGAAGAGTTGGGCCCATCCCTGACTTTAATATGTTGCACTAATGACCCTGGAAATGTTTTGCTACTGACCTAAATACCAGGTGTCCTAATGTAGAAAACCCTCCTCGATGGTGGCCAAGACCACCATAAAATTCAAAATCAGGCCTCCCACAGAACAAATAAACAAACAAACAAATAATACAACAACCCACACAACAACAACAACAAACCTGGAAGTTATATTTGGAACTGATTTTTTAGCAGACCAGTGTGATGAGTCCAACCTAGGCAATAGTTGGAGTTGATAACTACAGACCAGCTTCATTTCAGAGGTGTGAGAAGACTCCTGGCAAAGTGATATCAAATCCAAAAGGAAGAGCTTACAGAATAGATGTTGAAACATAGATGCTGTACTTTAGGACAGCTATGAGGTCAATCTTGAGACAAGATGATAATTAACTGTAGATAAATATAACTTGAAAATGAAACTGTCCAAAGTCTATGTTTGGACAATTTTCCACAGAGGCAGTTCTTGGTTTATGATCAATCATCCCTGGTGGTTATTTAGCCCTTCATTTGTAGGGGCTATCAGCTGCCCATTAGCATCCATTAGGGCCCATCATTGATGTTTAAAGATCTCTGGAGCAAGCTGGCTCAGAGGAGGCACAGTGAACCTCGTAGCATCATTTGTAACTCAAGAAAGCAGGCTACTGAGGGCACTCACCTCGACAACACTGGTGTACTAAGGCAGATAAAAGGAATTTGTTTTGAACCAGTCTCCAGGTCTCCTGTTTAGTGGCCATATCACAGGGCAGACAAAGACTGTCCCAAACTGTCAGGTTTTTACTGCATTCAGTTAAATGGGAAGCTGCTTTTGTGCTTGACTCTGGATGAGTTTCTCTTTGAGGTTCTTAGCCTGGTAAGATTCTAAGGCCCTTTATTCATGGTACTGACATAAGTAAATAATGAAGTTGATCACAGTAGGCAACAGTTGAAGACAAACCTGGAGACAATTTGGAGATCATCCTTAGGCAGTGATATCTTCAAGGAGGTGGTGCCCACCGCTGACCCTGCTGGAGCATAGTTTACAGAGCCTCTGCAGGGAAGGAAAAGCCCGTGGTCGGAGCTGGGTGTGCCCATCGGATACAAGGCCAAAGTCATTTGGGTTAATGGAAAGTTCACAAAAGGGAAGGGTAAAGTCTCAAACATATAAGCATTATTTCTCAGGCACGGTAAAGCAGCTGTGCCTGGTCACAGCTGAAGGAAGCAGACGCTCCTTTAATCCCCCATTTTCATTCTAGAACATGAGGTATGCTATCTGGAGACCAAACTACAGAGCACCCATGTCCTTTGGTGTCTTCCAGTGGGTAGCTAAGCCAGAGTCACCTGTGATTTAGTTAACAGTAGCAACTGAAGCGCGACATTTAGACTGGGTTGGTCTGGGGTGCTTCAAATCATTAGTAAGTTTTAAGGCTTAGTAAGTTTGTCCGCCATTCCTGACAACCCTCATGTGTCCATCGTTAGCCAGAAAACACAAAGGGCTAAACAACCAGTGGGATAAAGACTCAGGATCACAGAAACAGCTTCAGTGAAGACCAGTCTAGAAAAATTAGCCACAGGCGGCTCGTTTAGTACCCAACTTTCAGGTTGCTTGATGTCCACTGAAAACAGTGCTTGAAACAGTAGGTATGTGGAAAGAATTTATCATTCAGTGTCCAAAACAAATGAAAAAAGATTATGCTTTCTCTGTGTATCATAGCCAGTCAGTACCAGAACAAGAATTAAAACCAAACTTGCCCTTCTACTAGTTTTGGCCTACTTAGATAAATTTT